AATGACTGAGCCATAGGTGAAGTAGGACAACAGACATGAACATTAAAATGACCAACAATGAGAACTTGGTCATACCTTGGGATGATATCAGCCAAGACATCAGAAAAGCCATTTATAAAGTTTTTGTTGTACCTTGGTGGCCGATAGACCGCCGCACACAGCACAGTGTGAGAGCTGCCAAGTTCAAATAGGCTAATCTCAAAGCTACTAAACGAGGTCAGAGGCAACTGTTTACAAGTAAATGAACTTTTAAAAACAGTCACTATACCTCCACCGGAGCCCCACATCCTTGGAGCATTAAAAAAGCCGCAGTTCCGCGGTACAAGTTAATTAATAATGCTGGAGTCACCCAAACCACTTATCCATAATTGTGTTATAAATAAAACATCCAATCCTTGAGAGGAAAAGGAATCCCTAATGACAAAAGTTTTATTTGTCAGCGACCTGGCATTTACCAAACCGATCCCGGCAGAAATTGGTGGGTCTACACCATCACCTGGAGTCCGGTACTCCCAGCCAAGAGGCCACAGGTTGCTAGGATTCATCCTGCGTCTACAGGGCCAAGGAGCGCAGGGACGCTCAGGGCAGTCACCCCCAAACTGGAGCAGTGTCTAAAACAGATCCCAGGAACAGCATCAGACATCTCAGTCCAGCAATGTGCAGTTCTAGACATAACCAAGATACTGCGCAGAACCCTCAAGCTCCTAGGCGTCTGGTAGAGGACCCGAGCTCAGAGGATGAATGAGACCACCTGCGGAAGGGTGAGAAGGGATTTATTATTATATATAATGTCATTAGTAGTAGATATTATTATATATATACTTTGTCTGAGTATCTCCAAGTAGGTTTGATTTTAACTAGTGTTTCACCTTGCAGTAAACTACATAATTTTTTTTCTTACGTGCACAGCTATCAAACATTTCCTAAATACAATGTGACCCCAACACTGAAACTGTGAGTTTCTATAACAAACAAGGACAGTTAGTTATAACTACAAAATTTCTGAAGAAATTTAAACGGGGCCTGCCAAAGTGTGCCTGTGGTTGGAACCCAGCAATCTGATGCTAAAAATTTGCCTCAATACTAAAGTAAACTACAATGTACTCAGTAGCATGTGGAGAGTCACAAGTATGTTGAGTAACATGGATTTACTCCATTCAGTATGTTAAAATTAGTGTACAAGCTGAAATTAGTCAAAAATGGTAATATTAGCCTAAATGCAGCCAGTGGCATGTCGGCTATAACTAGCATGTTGTCTTACAATGACTACCTCCATTCAGTGTACTAAACATGGTTAATAAATAAACAAAATAGCCAAAACAGCTTATTTTAGGAAAAAGGCTACTGTTAATGTGAGCATAGATACATTAGCAATGTTTGTGATGTCTGTGCACTGCTTTCTGATTCTTACTTTTGCAAAAGTAAAAATTAACTGTTTGCTTCATGGCACTTGGTTACCAGAAAACGCGCTCATCTCATAGCAACAGATTAACAACAAATATTGTTATTGTTCAAAAAATATATTTCTTCTGCTCTTTTGAAATACTACTTATTTTATACTTAAGAATTATGTAATTGGTGAATTTTGCAAAAAAAAAAATAAATATTTTTGTCATTAGTAGTAGATATATTATACAACACACATTCAACACAAAAATAAAAATCTTGATTTACAGTTCGTTACCAGAAAAGAAACCCTGCTTAACTCTTAACATCAAAATAACAAATAATATTGTTTATAAAACATAAGCTCTTTCAAAATACTGCTTATCTACTTATAGACACAAGAAAT